CCATAAGGGTAAATACCAGTCTTAGCTGTTTGAAATAACAGAAGCTAGTTGCTCGAGTGCCTTTTATCGAGAGTGATTCTAGGAGCTTTAGCTCGAATATCAACATCAGCTCTCTTGCAGACCTGAAAATAGAGAGAAAAGAGATTACTTAGAGCTAGCAGAGGCTAGAGCTACATATGATCCATCAGTGGCAGAGACAGATGCAGTAGTTCCTATGGTTTACCCTGAACAAGTAGTTTCAGCAACAGTAGACCCAGCATTTAGAGAGCGATACCACCCGGCAAAGGAAGGGGGAAAGCTATAGGCCGGAAAGGCAAGCAAAGGCGTAGGTAGCAGATCTACCAGCATCACTATCGGTCAACTTCAAGTGCTTAATTAACTGCTCCATCAACAGAAAGGANCTCCATCTGTGGAAACTGGGGATGAGTCCAATCCTAGGGCATTAACCTTTCTGGGAAGCCGGTCCCTTTACCCGCCGTCATAGGCTTTTCGAAGTAGCTGCAATTTCATCGGCTGGTCTAGAATCAGCTACGTCAGAATAGGCCGCTAGGGGTACAGATTTGCTAACAATGTTCTGTTTGCAATTAAATGCGTATCTGTGCTGTGATTGAATCAGTAAGCGCAGCAATATCCATCTCGGAATAAGCACTGCTAGTATAGTCTTTTTACGCTGGAACTTTTTCTAACTAGAAATTGTGAATAAGAGAAGAAAGTTNTAACTGCTCCATCAACAGAAAGGACTGAAGCGGCTGCAGGAAGGTATGCAGCTTACTTAGATGCTACTGGTGGATCATAATATATATGTTCCCACCTATGTCTCTAGTGATGCTTCAACCTTCGTTTCCGCCTGCTGGGTATAGAACTGAGAAGGGTATTGATCCTGGATCTACTACTGGCCCTGCTCGCTTTGTTTATGCTCCTGTGGGGACTGGCTTTCGAACTGACTCGACATCCAAGAAATTCCTCCCCGGGTAAATTTGGATACCAACCAACCAAGTATATCCCTGACTAATGGGAAGACCCCCTCTATGATCCGGAGAACCGGNAGTCTAACTTCTCCTTAGGCCGAGCAGCAGAGTCAGGCTGCGAGTAGAGAACACTTAATTAAAAGACTAGATAATCAGATTGACCTCACCTGATGGCTTGGAAAAGACTGAGATTCTATTCTGACTTATGCCCTGGATTCATTCATATAATGCTTGTTTACGGCTTATCAGCCCCCCCATCCCTACTTGACTAAGCTAAGGAACTACTGAAAATGGCACGAAATCACAGACGGAAGTAANTATGATCCGGAGAACCGGCACACTGACTGACCCTATATCAATCACCGCACGCCTTATCAATGGAATGATTAGCTAACCTTGGTCTGTGAAGGCTTTACCCCTGGCTCTTCAATCCTAGTATACGAAAGATCATGTCCATTCATTCCCGAGGTAATCCTCCACCAAGCAAGAGGAATCTCTTTCTCTTAGCCTATCACTGCCGCCTTAAATCAGGGAAGGTAAGGGACCGCTTTCCTTTTATCCTTCCCCACGTGGAAAATGAATCAAACCTGTTTTACCGAGGCGCCTGCAGGTATTCTAAAAAAATGGTTAGTGTTTATGCTCCTATAGCAAAAAAATGATTTATTGGGAGGGCCATGAGAAATACACTTTGTACCTTCGTTTCGGCATCAAAGCCTCTTCTCCCGTCCAAACTCTCTTAATCAGTCAAGCAAGCAATTTGAATAGGGATTATGAACATACAGGCTTAGCCTTACCCCTTCGATTGATTGTTCGTCAGTCAAGTCGAAGTCGTTTCTCGTTAAGTCAAATTGAAAGGTCGATTTTGTTAGTGAAAGAATGGAAAGGGGGATCGGACCAACTCTGGAACTTTGAGGCAAATTAAAAGCCAAAACAAAAGCAGCAAAATATCGGCCGTCAACAAACAAAGGAAATTCAAACACTCCCTTGTTTTGTTATTTAAGCGAAAAGAAAACCAGATCGAACTAGTCAGTCAAGCCGAAAGCAAGACAAGAAAGAGTTGTAAGTGTGTGTTTGAAGGGAGTAAACACGAAAGATGAATGAGACAGAACTGGAAGGAAAGACGAAACGATGAATGAGAGGGAACTGGAAGGAAAGACTATCGATGAATGAGACTTTACAGTGAAAGAATAAAGGGAGACGAAACGAAAGATGAAAGGTCAAGCTCAATCACTACTGAACGAACTGAACTCATGAACCGGAACCTATCCCTTACGGTCTCCTTCGCTCCTTCACTTATTCTTTCACCAAGGTAAAGAAGTCAAGATGAAAGATTGATTCTTCTTGATCTGATCCTCTTTATTCAAAGACTGTAAAGTGGCTTCGCTACTCTTTATTCTTGCTTGATTGAACCCGGTAACTAGGTAGGTGTTTGATTCTTTCTCTTCTCTTGATCCTTCCCCTATTCTATCACAGTAAACAAGGGAAACTGGGGATTACCAGATTGAACTGATCTTTCTCCTTTCCCTATTGGTCTCTTTCGTTGCTTCGCTCCTGCACGTATTCTTTCTTTCTGGCCATTGAAGTCTTGATCTTGAACTTGGGAAAGCAAGCCGCTAATTCATTTACTTGACTGTAAACACTCCTTATTCATTCATTCTCGTTCACTGGAAGGAAAGAAGAATCAATGAGAGTGAACTCTCAGTCAATCCTCAACTCTCGAAGCATTATCTGGAAGAGTCAGTCAAGCGGCTGGATGAGAATCAGGTCTTTCTCCTTTTCTCCTTCTTTCCTGGTAAACTAAGAAAGACTAAACTCTCGATTAAAGTTCACTCCTTTCCTTCGTCGGTCTCACTGCTTGCTGGCTGGGTTGGAACGGAACTGGCTTCTCTGATCTTGATCCTCTCCCTCCCTATTTAGTCCTTCAAAGACAAACAAGGGAAAGCAGCTTTTGGACTGATTGAACAAGGGTTGAACTATTTTAGTGTCTCTTTTCTTTGCTCTCGCTTCTTGAACTCGGTAAAGCAATTCCATGGCCTTCCCCTCTTCTCGTCTCGTGGCTTCGTCCCTCTACCTTGCTTGCTTGAACTCACTGTAAACAAGACAGACAAGGCATGAAGGATGAAATGGAAGAGAATGCGGCTTCTTCCTTCACCTATGTATTCTTTCTTTTCCTCGCCCTTCACTGTCAAAGATCAATACTCTACCTTAAACCTTTGCTTTGCCTGATGTAACTAGGTAAACTGATGGCTCCCTATTAAATAAAGAGGTCATTGAGGAGGTAATTGACTAGGCAGGATGAGAAGAAGGTCAAGCTCCGGAGCCTCTACAACTCGGTTTCACGCATTGCCTGCCCCTATCGGTCGGTTGAACAATTCCATTGCCTTAATCTATTTATTCCTTCTTTCTTTGACTGTAACCAAGGGACTACTTGTCTTTCTCTCTTCTTTCTCTGATTTAATTTATACTCGGAGGTCAAGCAGCTAATGAGTTGTTTACTCTCCTGTAAGTAAGAAAGATGAATGAGAGTGGCTTCGCTCCTGCCCCTGACCCAATATTCCCTGTAAACAAAGCCGAAAGAGGAAAGAGAGTTTACAGTCTTTGAATAAATGAAGGTAGAAGAAAGACAAAGACGAAACTCCTTATTCCGGAACCAGTAAAGACCATTAATTAATTAATTCTATCCAGTATAGGAGTAAAACAGTAAAAGCGGTTTTCCCTTAATAGCGGGAGCTTCAATAAATTATTTTCTATCTTTCCCGTATTTTAGGGGTATTTCTCTTTTTCCCTTAATAGCTTCGGCTTCAAGAAAAGAAATTCTATCTTTCCCGTATTTTAGGGTATAAAAGTGTATCTTTACCCCTATTTCCCTCGGTAACTCAACTGTAAACACTCAAAAAACAAGAAAAAAGTCTATCTTTCTTGTATTTTTAGGTATAAAAGTCTATCTTTACCCTATTTTTCGGGATAAAATCCCGGTATTTAGGGCAGAGGTAATGTTGAAGTAGAAGTCAAGACTATCGAAGAATCAATGATCGTTCACTCTCAGTCAATCCTCAAGATTCCTTCTATCTCTCCCTTATTTTTAGGGATAAAAGAGAGGTCAAATGGGCCGAGGTAATTAAGAAGTCAATCCTCAACTCAACAAGAATTCTCGTTCACTGTCAGACTGATTAGACTGATCCTACTGATTGAACTCATGAGACTTCCCTTCGCTACTGAACCTGATGGAACTCTTTTACTCTCTCCTGCCTGTATAACAAACAAAGATTCTTTCTCCTTAACTACTGAACTTGTCCCTATTTATTCCTTCAAATACAGGGTAATTTATCCTGAACTCGCATATGAAATTCATTATCCTTCACTCAATCACCTAGTTATTCCGGAACTGTAAAGTGGCTTCGCTCCTCTCTGTCTTAGCCTTTCTTGAACTTACTCTCCTGCTGTAAGAAAGTCTCAACTTCTTATTCCTTCTCCTTCACCTGTCCCTTCTTTCTTTAGAAGACTGTAACCGAGGTAAACTCCTAAACCTTTGCCTGATTGAATGAGGTAAACTGGCTGTATGGAGGATGATTCTTTCACAAGGGTTGAACTATTTGACGGTCTCTTTTCTGTTCTTTTCTAAACCGTCACCTATTTCTTCTTTCACAGTAAACAAAGACTCAACTCAATCCTCAACTCAACAAGATATGAGTTATCAATAACCTTCTTTCACTCGGTAAAGCAAGCACTAAGTCAGTGTTCTTTCACTCGGTCTCGCTGCTGATCTCATTCACCTCGGTAAAGCAGCTTCCTTCTTTCCTCTCCCAGGTCATCCCCCCCATTTTTCCGAAGCACTATCTGTCCCTTTCTGCGTCTATATTAGTTTAGGTCTAACGAAATCAACAAAATTCTTAACGAACAAGTTTCATAACATGTGTTATCTAGTCCTATTTTCTTTTTCAAATCCAACCTTATTCTACTGTCTGTATCTCCCTCAAAAACCCCTCGATGTCCAAGCCCCTGGTAAATAGGTGTTTGTTGGGCAAGTTTGGATGCCCCTACTGCCAACAAGTTTCTGGTCGGGATCGTGGAACTCTCGCTCGAGAAGTAAGTAAGCTGGTCCTTGTTTGGTCATAAGGATAATGGTTCTTATTAGGTCAGGGGCAGCAGCCGGCCCTGGGGTTCCCCGCGATTGGTAATGGCATAACCTCAAGAGGGGTAGGGTAAAGAAGGTTACGCGCTGGTTAGCGCAGCGCATCTGTTTCGGGTACAGAGGTGAGGAGGGGTGCTAACCCGGCCACCCAACCGAGCAGGTCAGGGGCGAAGACCTGAGACCCTACGGGCGAAGAGGCGCGGCCATAGGTTCGAATCCTGCCACCTTTCTTGTGGATCATCTTGTGGTTACCGGATGATGGGAATAAGAAAGCAGAAATGAGCACGAAATGTCAATATATGAATTGTTTCATTATTCGTTATTTCCCGGTCTTTTCGTTGGATTCACTTACAACAAGAAAGAACCACCAGCGTTTGGTGCAGCACCTGCATTTTGGTGTATTCTTCTTTCTTTCTTTGGTCTTTCATTCCGTCAAATTCCTAATAACTTATCCAATTCCAACGTATTAACCGCGAATGCACCTTTCTTTTATCAAATCTCAGGGACATGGTCTAATCATGAGGGTAGTATTTTATCATGGTGTCGGATCCCAAGTGTTTATGGATTCCTTCTTTGTTACCGGGGTTGCCCCCAAAGCCATAATGTCTCAAAACGAGGAGGCCATAGAGAAACTCTTTTTTATTCCTTTCTTTCGAACTTCGTGAAGAACCCCATTCGAGATCTCCCTCGTTACGACCAAAAAAGTGGGTCTGCGCCCCTGTTGTGCACTCCCTTCGTTCTCCGAACCCTTGTTGATTCTGAACTTCGTTGGCGGAGGAACCAGACTTTTGACGGGCCAGCCCTTTTTTATGCGCCGCTTTACCCTGAAAGTCAAATGAGCTTTGCTCCTTTGGGCTCCTGGCGCTCCCGTGGTTCGCGAGAAGTAAAAAGGACTCATCCTTTGTTGCATCTGGCATGAGATGATAAAGAGAGAGCTTCGTCTATCGATGAACAGCGGATTGACAGAACTCTTGGCATTGCTTTGTTTTTCTCTCCTTTCCTATCAGCGAGTTCCGATCCTTTTGTTTGAAATTTCTTCGTTCGTACCGAACCGCTTGCAGAATCAAATCCTGTTTCACAAGATCCTATATCAGCTATACATCCTCCTTGTATTTATGCCGGAGACGTCGCCAGTGCTATGGGTTTTGGCTTATGTAGATCCAAAATGATGAATGGGATTGTGGCACCTCACTCCCCGCCAATGCGTAAGGATGCCCCCGAAAAGAATGGAACGCTGCTTCGCTCTGCTGGATGCGTCGGATCCCGTATAAGAAGCAAGCTTTTTACCCTCAAATTCAAAGATGTAGGCGCAAAATGCTATCCTGCTCTATTGGTGCATAGCAATATCAGCCTGCTCATGCTGCTTCGGCGGCGCTTTTTCGCCTTCTCTTCCCTCTGGTCGGGAGGGCTAGTGGACACGGGGAGGGAGCTGGCGAAGCGTCTCGTTTGTAATGCAAAGAAAGAGACCACTACTTCGCTTCTTTCTTGGACTGCCGGCGCGAACACAGTGGTCTCTGACCAGGACAAGGAACCCATTCGAATTTGGATCTTGATATGTCGGTGCTTTTTAACCGTAGGCATCTTGCCAGGAAGTTGGTGGGCTCATCATGAATTAGGTCGGGGTGGCTGGTGGTTTCGGGATCCCGTTGAAAATGCTTCTTTTATGCCTCGGGTATTAGCCACAGCTCGTATTCATTCAGTCATTTTACCCATTCTTCATTCTTGGACCTCGTTTCTGAATATTGTGACTTTTCCATGTTGTGTCTCAGGAACCTTTTCAATACGGTCCAGATTGCTAGCTCCCGTTCATAGTTTTGCTACAGATGATACACGAGGAAGATTTTTATGGTGGTTCTTCCTTCTAATGACCGGCATATCAATGATTCTTTTCTACCAGATGAAGCAGCAGGCATTGGTACGTAGAACCTATCAAAAAGAGATAGTTGTGGCCCGAAGTACTCTTGTGCACCTACGGCACTCGGCTCGCGCGCAACCCCGCCCCCTTATGTTATGGAAGAATTGAACGGATTGCAAGACAGGTTATTCAGAGCCAGCAATTGGCTGCCGGATTTCATCCCGCAACTAGAAGAAGATCGCTTCGGGGGTCAGAGTGGCGTGGCTGAATGTAGAGCAGTCCGTCTGCCTTTGATCAGTCTATTCTTTTTTTCTTCGGAAGATGGTCAAGGTAGCTAAGCCACTGCACTAGATGCGCATGTAGTCGTAGTAGTCGGCTCAGAATGCCTCTGTACTAAAAGACTACTTCGGAGGGGTCTTTGCTCTGCCAGACGAGTATACCATTGATTCTTTTGTTTTCTCGGTTTCGAATAGTATATGAGCAGAGCGAGAGCGACTAGAGTTTACTTCAGGAATAGAGGTTTTTGATGTAGTAGTTGCGCACGTTTTTGCTTTTTTCATCGAGATTGGGTCGGTATTCAGCCTCAGTACAAGATCGAAAAGAATGAATAGCATTACAAGTGAGATGTCCAAGATAAAAGGAAGGGAAGAATTGACGAGCTTTTTAAGCCCCAACAGAATCCATGGAATGAATCTATCTAAATCCATGAAAAGATCTATTCTATCTCTATAGATAGGGGACAGAGAGCTTGACTTTAAGATAGCTCGGCAACTCCTCTTTCTTTATTAATGATCTTTCCCTACTTGACTTATTCACCTTTGACTGATGTAACTCGGTCTCGTGGCTTCACCCCTTTCCCTATCGGTCTCGTGGTTGAACCTCTTGGTCTCAGGGTTTCCCCCCTCTCCTTTCCTTTCCAGTCGAGCTTCTTCGCCTCTTCGCCCTACGGGTCTCAGGTCTTCGCCCATTTCCCTTACTTATTCAGGCCTTTAGGTGAGCTTGCAAATAAGTAAGTAAACACAACTCAACTCTTCTCCGGGTGACGGGATCGCCCAAGCGGGGTTGCTCTGACTCGGCCCTGAGAAGCGCAACACTCCAGTAACTGAGACTTTTGTAGGTTCATGGGCAAAGAAAGCGTACCTTGTTTGATAAGCTCCCTTGGGGTTTCACTTCTGATGTTCTGCCTTGATGAGTGGGAGAGGTAGCCGAATTAGGATCTAATGGCACGGACACAGCGCAGGAAATTTACGAAAGAAAGAAGGAGGAAAACAAACCCTTTCAGTTGCTCTCTACACGGTGACTGGCCTTTTGGGTCTTACCTTATCATATATATTTGCCGTAGAGGTTCATTTTCCTCACTCAGAGTAAACGAGAAAGAGAGGAGGGCATAGAATTTCTGATTACAAGCCAAGCGAGAAAGAACATCGTCATCTAATCTAATTGCTCCTGAACTCGTCCTTGAGCCTGAGGCCCCCCTTGTGATAGATGGGAAAAAAGAAAGAAGGTTTACGTTTCATTCAACCAACTATCTTTTTGAAATAATGAACAGTGCTCATTCTATAGATACTGGAAAAGCCAAAGAGAATGAAATTGAATCTTAGTCAATTGAAATTGAAGAACCACATCCCGACCCAACCACAAATCTCGAACTTTTTGGCTTCGACCTGCCCACATCGTATTCCGCAGAAACTTTACGCTTAAAGGCTGATATCATTCTGGAGTCGTATTTGGATTCCCTTACTCGTGAGCAATACACCTGGTTAGACGTAACACAAAGTCTTGCTCGGTCAGCTCCGGGGATATAGAGTAACTCGAGATGAAAGCAGTATGCTGCTCGACCAGTTGCCATAATCCGGGCAGTGAAAACGGTATTCAAGCCTTGGAGCTCTTAATGTCATCAGTGGCAGGATAGGAGAGGGGTGAATTGCTTCGAGAAAGAGAAAGATAGGAAAGATGCCAAGTCAAGCCATGTACTACTATCGGCCATACAATGATGGCATTGTGGATCTCATTTGTATTCCAGTTTTTTGGACTTAGATGTGTTTCATTCCTTAGGGAGTGAGAGGGCTAAGGCGAAAGGGTTGGTTGCCCCTTACGCGCTTTTGTTAGGAGGAGTTTAGTGTAGTCGAATGGAAGGGAAGCGCATATCGGAAAGGAATCGGGCATCTATGGAAAGAATCAACCTTCTGCCTTGTCTAGTAAGCTGCCATTATATTGAACGAAGAAGAAAATCGACAAATAGGGAATCAATCACTTGGGGTATGAATAAGATCAGCAGGAAAAACAATGCATAGGGCTTCGGCAGTCTTGCATAAAAAAGAGCTTTTGTCTTCTTCAGTTAGTACAAATTAGGTCGATATCGACAATCCAGTTTCCCAGGAAGGAGGCCTAGAAAAGGTCAGCGGAGAAATCACAAAATACCTGCTTTTGACGCTACGGCCGACCCGGGATGCTACTCACGAGCTGGTCAGGGACAGGTTCTTGTCACTCTTTCGATGCCATGCCATTGTGGTGGCACGGGAACCACTGAATGGGGGCAGTTTGAATCTCATCGCTGGCGTGTGGAATACAAGTGTATCCAAGCACAGCGCAGCCAAGAGGGTCCAAGATTGCTTCGTCGAATGGGCTGGCCTTTTATTAGCAGTAGAATGTTGGGTTAGCTCTGCCTTGTTGTGATAGAGGGATGAGAGGAATTGATGAAGAAATGTCTTAGTTGGGGGATCCGGTCAGTCAAAAAAGAGGATAACAAAAAAAGGTGTATCTGGTCTGGTGTAGCTAATGTGACTTTCTTGATCTATAGTTACTCTTCTTTCTCTCTCTTGAGTAATGCTCCGGCTTCCCTCACTCAAAAGATCCGCCATTATGACACAGGTGTATCGAGGAGGTAGGCTGTAGATTGAATATAGAAGGAAGGGCTTGTATTTGACAGATTTCGAGCAACCCCCAACCTTTGAGAAGGCCACTCCTCTCTCTAACGGCTTGTTGTGACCTGACCACTTAAATGCTTCGAATGAGAAGTAGAAGTTGCGCTTTCGATCTTGTTCTCAGCTCCGAGTTTGGTTAGGCGAGGCTCTTGACTTTACAGGGTGGTTCCCGGTTCAGGAATTCGTGGTTGGCTGACTTTTCTTTCTTTGGTTACAGTTCATGCCCACTCGTAATGAACCCCCGCCCGCCCCGACGTGGAGTCGCAACTCCTCCTGTAGAAACCTCCTTCAACTGATTCAAGTGATTCAGTCAGTAGGAAAGATGCCTCTCCTGCAGGCCGAAACATTGATTTTGTCTCGATGCGGTTCTCCCCAAAAGAGTGAGCGCTCACCCTTATTATGGGCCCCCCTTTGTTCTTATTAGTCAGATAGGTCAATCTCACCTTTTGGAAATCTCTCATAAGGGGAAGTGGTAGTATAGGTTTTTTTTAAGATCTCTCCCTTCTCCATTATTCTAATCATTGAATTAGGTAAGACCTGTGAATTTCCCCCCGGTTGTTGATGTAGTTGGATCTTCTATTTTGCCGGAATTCGTTGATGAGTAGCCTGATTCTTTCTTACTTCCGTCTGTGATTTCGTGGAGAGAAGGAAAAAGAGCAATGGATGGGATTGGATTCAATCTACCTGGCCATTTCTGCCCATTCAATTCTAGGCAAAGATGTCTCAAATAAATAAGGGCGAAACCTGTCAGCCCGCTCAGAGTTTGCAGGCAGAACCGTTGTTGCCTGATGAAGCTAGTTGGTTTTTAGTGTTCGGTGGCGTTCGGCACAGGGGAGAACATCCGAGCTGTGGAATGAAGACGAAAGGGAACGAGGACTAAAGTGCTCTCTGAACATGAAAGTGGTTTTCCTGCTGGGAAAGTCTTCCTCTGGAGCAGCCACGACACGAAGTTCCCTTACCCTTCCACTTTACCTTTCTTCCCCTCTTTCTGCAAGCGGACACTTTTCTGCTGTCCTTAATAGAACCGATCTGATTCTCTGAACAATTGAAGCGACAAAGGAGAGGCCCAGAATCGAATCTGAAACTTCCAGCAGAGGGAGAAATTGTCACCGGTCGAGAGAGAAGTCTCGTCAGCCGGTCTGGGCTCTCACTCAGCAAGTAAGCAGCAAGATTCTCTCTTGGCAAAAGAAAGCGAAAGACCTCCTCACTCAGTTCATATCTTTAAGCAAAGAAGAAAGATTGGGGGAAAAAGATTCACAGAATTAGGGTAGGGTTCCTAATCCAAAATTGCATCAAAGTGAAAAAGTCTTTGCCGCATCAATGAGAGAGAG